CAAAACCTGTTCACATAATGCTGTGTATGTAGAAAGTCCTCAGGCATTGCCCTGGCTCTGCACAGCTCTGCGCCGCTTTAGCTTTATTTTGTGTAGCCTCTCAGGCCAGTCTAATGTTAATCAGTCTTCTCTTGGTCATTCTCAAGTTTCTTTCCCAAAGGAAGCATTAGTCAGTAGTTTTATCTCTCAATTTTGTGTTTATTTTTGAGAGAAGTTTTGTAAAGATTCCTCAAGTAATGTTTAGTCTGTTTGCAAAATCTTATATCAACATGCTTTTGAATTTGCCGTGTCATGTAGGGAGACATAACACACAGAGAGTTTCTTTAACTGTGAAAAGCAATATGGCTCTTGGCAGCTTTGCCTCCTCTTTTGTCTCTTTCTGAGTTGGAAAGGGGATTTATTTTGTTAAAGCCAAGAGACATTTAGAGTTACTTAAGGCCTGAGTAGGAGCTGCTGACTGTTGTTCCTTCTCTGTAGCATTCTCATGACTGCTGGGGCAGAAGCCCTTTGGAAAACTGGGTAATTAGTGCTTCCTTATTAAGGTTATTAATGGTTCTGACCCTTGCTATATTAAAGAAAATCCTGAATATTAACCTTATGACCTAAAGGGATTTCCTCTCATAAGTCACGTTAATTTTTTTTTAGCTCCTAAAAATAATTGTTTGTATTTTGTGTTCTTGCTATAGATTCCCATTTCCATTTAGCTGATTTTGAAAATTCAATGGAGGAAAACACAGCCATAAAGGAAGAGTATTTCAGAGTTAACATGAACAAAGAACATTTGAATTTGTTAATTACAATTTTACTGAACAGAGTGGCTTAGAGTAAGATGAAATATTTTCTTCAATTTCAATGAGATTAGAATAATTCAGGTCCCATACTCCATGTCACAATGTATAGTCTGTGATGGGTATATTGTCGGAAAACTGCAAATACTTGCAAAAAAGTGCAACATATCTTGTGTCTCCCTGATCTTGTGCTTTTAATAAGGATTACTAATTCACTGCTGTCCTAAATGCATTAGGTGAGGTTAGCTGAAGTTTTATTCGGAAGCATGTTGGCCTACGATTGTTGATTTGGCTTCACCTCAGGTCCTAATACCATTGTGTGGAGCTATATTCACAAATCCCCAGAATTAGACGTGTTCTGCTTGTGTGTTTTCTTTCTGGAATGAGAGTGTAATAACATAGCTTGTATGGAATTTGCTGGTTTTAACAGCAGACAGAAGAAAGCTTTGCTTAATATTTTTATATTAACAGTCTATTGTTAATAGCTTTGTGTTCTCTGCAAGACTAAAAATAGTAGTCAGAGTAAGCATCCTTCTGGATTGTATTTGTGGAATTGAACAAATGGCTGATATTACCAGCTGGTAACATATGACAACAGCATTAAAAAACTGGCATATATTAGTTGTAACCCCATCTTGTGAGTGATCACTCTATTATGTTTTCATTGAGTATTCACATACCGTTTTCTGTTAAAATCTCTTGCCACCTTTGAGTCAATGCGAAATTTTTCATTTTATTTTTTTTAAGCCTTTTTAAATGGGGCCTGTGGCAGTTAGACTTAAATATTCCTGAGGTCTGAAGGTGCTATAACTTTTAACAGCATCAAAGCACCACAATTACCCAAAGCTCAGGCCAGGCCTTCCCACCAGCAGGTTTAGCCAGTCCCACTGCCATATGCAATTCAAGTATGAGTTCAGCAAAAGGGAATGTTTAAGCATTATTGCCAGGGGAATAAAAAGACAAAAAACCAGATTTTGCAGACAAACCAAACATAGACTAATCCCTTTTCAAATTGTTTAGAGTATTTGAGGAATACATCTTACCACTTGCTTTTCCTTTTGGCTGTTTTATGGGTTTGTACACACTGAAAGTAACACCTGTTTCCTCCAGATTTGTTCATACACAAGTAGAAAATTAAAGATAGAGTTTACTAGGTACTAAAATCTGCTCATTTACATCTGCAGTTCACATTAAAAGGAGTATTGATGCACCCAGATACCAGTTGAGTTAGTGTCTGATAGTAACAGTGAAGCTGTGAGTTTATGAAGTTTCACAAAGCAAACAGTCTCAGCATTTGGTGTGAGGTGTGGTCTTCACCAAGGGGAGATGTGTCCAGTCGTGTGGGCTGGACACTGCAGGGTCTAACCACTAAGCAAGCACTAACTCAGCAATATAAGTGCTGTTTCTGTGCTTGTCCTTTTCTAAATGTAACTGAAACCCCAAACCCTGACTATTTGTGTTTTAAGAAGTCAGTGCCACGCAAGGACTCAGCTGGCCATATTCCTGTCTGTTTAACTATGACTGGTTTCAACAGAACCTTCTTGCAGCTTTGACTAGTAGTTTTGACCATTTCATGCAATAAACTGTGGTATGCAATTTGATGGTCCAGAACTGACTGTGTTTGGGCAAAGTGATTGAATCAGGTATGTGTGTGCATGCTGTACTGTAGCTTGTAACTCTGCTGAAATATGGTTTCATAAAGTAACCAGTGGGAAATACCGAGTTTTGGCTAGTTATTATTGGTTTGATTAGTTCCCAAGAGGTGGCAAACTAGTATGGCACATGGATATTCATTTTTAGTTTCTTAGACATTCGCTTGTTTGCTGGCTATTTGGCTATGGAACTTACATTTAGATTGTGAGGCTGCTGTTCATACATGTGCAAATTTTAGCCAAGTGAGCAATGCTGGCCAAACTGCGCTAGATCACACCTCCAAACAAGGTGATTTGGCATGTGGAGACATTATTATACCGGTAAGGTTAGAATCCTATCTACAGGATCGAGCTGCACATCTCCAAGTGATTCCCCTGTAATCCCTTGGATAAGAATGTATATTTACTGTGGAACTCCAGAAAGCTTAGCCAGAGCTGAAGGTTTCCAACCGGCTAGATGCTGTGCAGAACTAAAGTCACTCTTTTGATCTCTTAGCATCACCCCATCCTTCCCCTTAGTTTTCCTTTAGGTTTTATGAAGTCATAACTTCTTTTGACTTCAAATGGAGCTTGCAGACTTCAGATAAGCTGGTTGGAATGGGATAGGATGGGGATAGGAAGCTAAATATAAAGAACGGGTATGAGCACAGACTTCATAGAGACCCTCTTTCTGCCATCTCTTCTAGTTAATTCCCAAGAGCCTTCATGCGGAGGCACTATCTAGCTTTCCCCTTCCAAGAGCAATTTCTGATATGTCCAACCTTATCATGGGTTTTCATGCTACCACAGGGACAGAGTTCTAGCTTTTGAATCTTAGCACAGTGGTGCTACAGTTTCTGCCAAAAGCTTTCTCTTGCAACATGCACTAAAAGGTCAAAAGTTAAAATAAATGTAAAATATGTTCAAGTGAAAATTCAGCACACGTACTTGACTGTCGGGGCTTGAGGATTTTTTTTTCTTGCTTTTCTTAGTGCTGAGACGTATTAGAGATTTTTATGGGTTTGAGTGTGATCCAGCATTGATACTGTAGCTCTGGAGGAGTGCCAGCAGGGAGGCTTACAGAATATCAAGTTTTATACCATCTTATGTAATGTTTATGCGGGTGGGATATGACATATTGAAATTCAATTTATTGAAATTATTGAAATTGTATTCATACTGCCTTACTACCAGTGGGGCTGAAATAGCTGTGTTTTGTGGCATTCCTGCTCGCACAGACATGGACACTCAGGGAAGATAGGTTTGCATTAATGTTTTTGTCTTCTCCAGCACTTATTTTCACTGGTGAACTGGTGCCATTACACTAAGTGCCTACATTGTGCAGTCATAGGCATGTAAATAAATAACAGAAAGGGTCTGAGTTCTTAAAAATATCAAAAAGTTATTCAGGTTTGTATTGCTGGTTTGGGAACCTTCCTTTAGACAGAGTTTAGTTTCTTTTCAGAAAAGGCAATATTTCTCTTATTAATCCTTTCATTGCAAAACTCATGTTACAACAATGCGCAGAAACCACTCTGCATGAGTTATGTCTTTTTGATTTTATCGGTCTAATTCAATCAGTGTGGATACATTTACATCTGTATAAGGCTACCCTGTACAGTGCAGATTTTTCCTGTCTAAGAGACAGAAAGAAAGACATGTTTACTCTGAGGTCACTTGGTTGCCATGTGAGAGCTTGGTGGTATAATACCACCATGTTGGGGGAAAGAGAGAAGCCAGTCTCCTAGCCAAAGAAGTACTTGCAGTAAGAAGTCAAGCCCAAACTGTAAGTGAATATAAATGCAGCTTTTTAAAAGTGTATTTGCTACTTGAAGCTATTTAATCTCAAAGAAAAAAATAATTTACATATTTGAGAAGCCTTTACTGTAAAAGCTGCCATTTCTGACCAAAATAAAGTTCCACTTGTTTGACTGGGCATTTACTTATCTTCTCTCATGCCTCTTAACAGCCTCCTGAACAGCAGCTAGAAGTTTGATATGCATTGCTGGTGGGAACATTGAGCCTTCTTCATTATAGTAATCTACCATGGAGCATCCAGTTTATAGTTATGGTCAGAGGACTGCAGAGAAAGTCCCCTTTAAGACTAATTCTTGCTTAGCCATAAGGCAGGTGGTAGTAAACTGTTCTTTCTGTTCACAGTGGACAGAATGAATGGGTCTAAATGGAAAAAAAAAAAAAAGTAAAAGAAATATAGGCTACACAGGCTGGACAGCAGAGAAGCCTTTCTTTCAGATTCTCAGTTATGAGATTGCACACTAAAAAAACTAGACAATATTGCAGTTGAAATAGGCTGAAGAATTCTTACACGTGCTTTATTTGTGCTTCAGAAATTTAGGAGTTTAAGAAGCCTACCCTTTCTGTCATTCTTAAGCTCACCACAGTATCTCAAATCAATTCAGCAAGAAGACACTTAGCCAGTGCTTTTAAGCATCCATACATAAATATTGCATTGTCGTTGTGTTGGTTGGGGTTATGTTATGTGCTGAATGGTTGCTACTCATTTTTTGCCAGTATAATCAATAAAAGTGACACTGAGAAATCTGATCTTCCTTCTCTACAGGCCAGCTTTGGGTGGTCTTCTTACATCATCTTTTCGGCTGCACCAGGAGTCCTTGGCAGCAGAAAGAGAAAGGCGACGGAAGGAGAGAGAAGAAAGGTTGCAAAGGATAGAACGTGAAGAAAGAAACAAATTCAAGTAGGAACCAAATTTGCTCTCAGTCTGTTGCTTTAATGTGTGATGGATTTGTAAATCATTGAGACGTTCAATTGCAAAATAATTGAAATAATGAATAGTTTGTGTGTCTTTTTAGATACCCTTCTTGATCGAAGTATCTTAAGAACTGAAAAATTGAACACATGATAAACCAGCATTTAGTAAACTGGCAATTTTTTTGAGGACAGCTATTTATTTGCCAATTATACTGTGTGGCTGTCTATAGAGGTCAGGTTTTATTACCTAATATACTTCTCAAAGTAAATCTCAGTGAGGCATAGGGTTTGAAGATGAAACAGTGGAAGGAAGGTACCTAAAAGGGAGGAAGGGACAACACTGAGACATCTTTTTGGGTTCTGCAAAGTAAAACTGTTTTGCTGTCTTGGGAAGTATGGTAGTGTTTTCAAACTACTTTTTCCCACTTTTCTGAACATGCATCTTTTCTTCCTGGAAACAGCAACTGAGAGAAGGCAGTTACCAAAATTATTGATCAAGCTGTGGCCAGGCAAAAGCCCCAGCTGAATATAGGACTCTCCATTTTCACATCTGAGAATATGTCGTGTGCTGTGGGGATCCCAGGGTATGTTGCCTGAGGATGGTAAGAGACAAGCCCACTCCTCCTTTTAAATCCATGCCTGGAAATCCCAGCACAGGCATTAGCAAAGACTACAGTGGGCTTAGGATAGACAAGGAGCCTGTACCTGAAGTAGTTTGCCTACTGCCTGAAGAGTGTACACTAAGAAACCAATTTGTTTCCTCATAAACAGGAGTGAAAAGTAAACATAGAACACATAATGTACTAATCTAAAGAATTGTAGGATAAATGTTTTGTAGCCTCAGAGTTGGTATTTATGGAAAACATGGCACTGGGTTTCATGTGAGCTTCTTTATTAGTATGCAGGATTATTTTCACTGTAATAATCTCTTTGTAAGAAGTGGAAATGCCCTGTGTCACAGTGAATTTGGAAAAAGGAGTAACTTACTAGTGGTTCGTTGGTTGGCTGCTTGAAGGAGATGCTCTCCTGGCTCCAGAAGATAGCTAGTTTAAAAGAAAATGAGAGGCAGAGGGAAGGTAGGAGAGCACCATAATAGGATCTTTGGCAGCCAACAGCTGCCCAAGTTCTCCTGAAACAAACAATCAGGTCTCGGTCTTAAAGGCTCGTCCAAAAAATCTCCCTCTAAGTGGTATCATCAGGCTGCAGCAGTCTGCCATGGACAGCCAAGATGATCTTTCAGAAAAGAAACTCCCAGACCAAAAAAGCCACCAGGACATTTGGCAGCTTGACCTGTTTGAATAACAGATCTGCACATTTCACTGGAGACTGGCTACAGTAGTTGTTCTGTCATTAAAAGAGATCCCTTAAAGTCAGAAAAAACAAATTTTTTGAAATATACATCTTTATACCATTACTCCAGAGTCAGAAACTGGTTATGTCATGACTGTGTTGCATATTTAAGATGACAGTTTTTCAATGCTCAGTGTTTTCATCTTCTAGATTCGAGTTCCATGGTCGCCCAAAAGTTATAACTTGCGTTTGAGTAGAGGGTCTCCAAAGCCACCAAACTTCACAGACAGACAGTATCACACAGTTGCTTAAACAGTCTGGCAGGAGGAGGACAAAGCCACAGCAGTCATGGGCAGTTTTGCAAGAGTTCTTGGGATTACATTATCATATCATCAGTTTGGCTAGAAACCCAGTCTCTGAAGATGTATTTTTGATTAAAAATAGCACTTGCAATTCACAGCCTTAAAACTCATGAGCAGTACTGGATTTACCCCCATGACTCATTTGTTATCTCATTCTTTCCAGCTCTGCCTCAAGAACATTGCACTGGTTTCTGGCACCATTATTGACAAATTGAAGGTGATTTCAAAGAGAGCATCACCAATTGTGAAAGAGCTTGGGTTTAGGAGTGGTATTAAAAAGCTTTATAAGCTATTGCTAGCAAAAGGAATGCTTTACATAATGAGCATTTTTCTCAGTAGAAGGACCATTGTACCTGCTGCGTGTGTAGAAGAGTATGTCCTAAAATACAAGGGTTATTCTTTAGCTGTAGGGAAGGGTGAAAGCTGTCAAAGGTGAAAGAGTAATGTTAAAATATGCCTGCTGAAAAATTCATAGGGTTTTTTTTTCCCTTGGAGTTATTCCCATAGCTATTGTAATTCCAAAGAATACTCTGAAAATATGATAAAAGTATAACCAGGTCAGGGATTTAAAGAATGTAGAGGTAGGCTGAAACAGTAATGTATGTTCCTTATTGACAGACTTTTGAAGAGCACTTTCAAGCAGATGTTTGATATCTTTTGGTATGGTAGATGAAAAGTAATTCTTTTGATGACAGAATATAAAGAGAAAAAACAGTGTTTTATTCATAAATGGAATAGTTCTGAAAATCTTCCTGGTACTCACAGGTTACACTGTGGAAGAATCTAACAAGGTGAAAATCTCATCAGTTTTGTCTATCAGATTCAACAAAATATTAAAAATACATTGTAAAGAACTATCTTGCTGTGATATCGAGGGAGGCTGGATGTTCACTGGGTTCTGCTGTGCTCTGAGTTAAATTTGCATCCACATTTGCGGATTTGACAGGCCTGCCTGAAATCACAGTGCTCAGGCTTCCAAAAAGTTGACCTGCCAAAAGCCAAATATATGAATTACTTGGGGAGCTGTGAGAGGGGCAGCTCCTCCCAGAGATGCAGGGATGTTTGTGTCTGAAACTCGGGGTGAAAAATAAAGAAGTGAAAGGTTGTTACCTGTTTGATGATCTTGCATGCACCTTGTGAGAACAAAGAATTGTCCTACTCATTAACACCAGTCCACTGTCCCGTTTCCAGCTAAGGCAACTAGAACACACTGAGGAAAGGTACATTAGGAAGAGGCTGATGCAGTATGCTCCCTGCGTTGGTCTGGCTTGCCAGGTGCTGCAGTCACTGTTTTGGGGCATTGTAGATAGTGCAGATGAGGACTGGTTTAATAGCCACTAATGTGTCTGCTCGTTATGGTGATACCAGTTGCTTATATCAAATTTCAGTTACTAGGTTTCAAAATGTGCTTCAAGTTCTTCACTCCTGGGGTTCTTTTATAATTATGTGTAATGATCTTCCGAACTACATATTTGCTGTACACATACCTGTGGTGTATGCAAGGATAAGTGTATACACACACTTTTCAGCCTTTTTTACAAGAACAAACTAATCATTTTTATGAACAATAGTCTTCATTGTTTCTGATCAGCTTGTTTGTATTGATCTGTTTCTCCTACTGTACTTATACTTCTCTTACCTTATTCTGCTGGTTTCCTCTGCAATTTACTGCAATTCTGTTTCTAGCCGCGATTATTTAGACAAAAGAGAAGAACTAAGACAAGCAAGAGAAGAGAGGTTTGTATAAAATGCATCCATCCTTCCCTTTGATTGTTTGTGTTTTTTACTGTGGAGCTGTCATGTATTTACATTTTTAACTCTGCATGCACAGAACACTTTTATTCCAAAAGACTTCTATAAGAAAGCAGTTGTTTCATTGAAGTTCTTCATTACAGAGGAGAATTAAGTCCAGCTGTAAGCACAGCAATAAATGAAGAGCAATGGGACTGCAGTGCATAAGAGTGATTAATGATCTATCTTTTATCTATTTGTGTGGGAGAAAAAGCTTACTCCATTTGCCTCAGAAATTTGCCAAAATTTAGTATAGTTATAAATTGAATAAGCCTGTCTTTCTCACCCAGTGGGTCCCAAGCTTTCTGGAGGGTCAGAAAAGGCAGCTGAGGATAAAGGAAGTCGGGGTCACAAACATTGCAAAACTGCACTCACAGGCTGATGGAAATGGTTCTGACCCGCTCCCAGCATATTTTTATCTTTCAGGGCCAATTTTTCTTTGCCAAACTCTCTAAACATCAGTGAGTAAATTGCAAAGCTTAGCAGTGTTTATCATTGGGGTATTGTTTTAGTTTTATTTAAATAGTGTATTTAAGGGACTGAGGGTTTGGGGTATTTTTTTGCTTTTATTAAATTTGAATAAATGGTTTAAAAACTCTGGACTAGGCTGGGAGCTATGTGCTTATGGAAGCACATTTTTCAAGGAATGCTTGACAAAAGACCTTTGCCTTTCAGTAGCTTCATCTCTACCTCCACTAGTAATTACACCCTGGAGGGAGTTCTTGTTTTTACCTGGAAAGTATGCGAGTTACTGAATAAATAGTAGATGAAAAATCATCCAGATTGCTTCAGTTCTTCTTTTATGGTTCTCTAGAGATTTTTCTCTGGAGATACTTTTGGATGGTAAAGAACTGGAATTACATTATCAAAGTATGAGAGCAGCCATATCAGAAATCACTGTGTTGCTGCGTTTTGGGTTTGGGTGGATTTTTGGTTTGTGTTTGGAGGGGGGGGGCTTTTTGGTTGTTGGGGGTTTCTTTGATGGGTTTTTTTTCGATGGGGTTTTTTTCTTCCTTTTTTTTTTTTTTTTGCCTACAATATCCTCATATAGGAGACAGTTGGTTTCTGTCAACTGAAGTCTGATCTATTGTGGCTGAAGTAGCTAATATTAGAAAATGGGTTTGAAATCTCAGAGTAAGAAAAAAGTGGATAGGCTTTCCTTCGTCCTTCCAGCCAAAACAATTACAAATAGTTTAGAACATTTTCTGAAATGAAACGCATCTAAGCATGTAAGCATCATACACTGATCATAGCAGAGTAAAACCTTTTACAGCAAACATGCTTGTCAGCAAGATTTGAGACAAATTAGAAGCAAGCTCTCCAGCGCTTTCAAGTTGTAAGGGAACATGCCAAGTAAACTGGAATACTTTTGAGGAAGTGTTCACCAGAAAGACATCACTGCTGTGCAATCCAAAACAATTTCACTGGTCAGTACGAATGTGTCTTTATCCTTAAGGTTCTTTTGAACTGAAATGTTAAATTATCACTTCTTCCTCAGAAAGACACGTTTGCTTTGACAGCACATATATATTGGAGAAAACTTCTGCAAGTTGCAGAAGTCTTGCACCTATTGTCCATTACATTGGCATTCTGCAACTATCTTTTTTACTCACGCCTTTGCACAAGTGAAATTTCATTTCCTATAGCAAGTTGCATGTTGACTTGTCTTAATAGAATGCATGGACTGTAAAAAAACACCATAGTCAAAGTCCTAAAAACCTAGTTAAAATCTGGGTTGTACATTTCCCGTGAATCAGTTTGGAAAAGTGGAAAGGGATATTATTGAACACATAAAAGCATTCTGTGTGCTATTGTGACACCCTGGAGCTCCAGAATAGAGGCACCCACTTTCCCAGTGGCTCTGGAGTGGTCTTGGTATGAGGGAGAAAGATCCCTGCAGTTTCAAGGGCTCTGAGTGTAACTCAGCACCATTTGTTCCACATGGTCTTGACGTTTTGAGGCCTTTTTTACTTTGCTTGATTGGGTGTTTTCCATTGTTAATTTTAAAATAAGCTCAAGAAAGGTGAGCTCCCAAGCCCTCCCTAGTGCGATTTGCAGCTCAGGTGCTCTTTGCCCTGTAACTTTGTTGGTACATAAACGTCATGAATCACCCTCAGGACATTCCTCAGAGATCTTGCAGTGACTTTTTCATCCACTTGAAGATGATTGGTGGAATATCATGATGTATACCAAATGGATAGCCCACAGACTTTTGGCTTTTTGTTTCTAGAGAAGTGTCGGCATAGTGGTGATGATGTCGACAGATTTCCATGATTTAAAGGATCATGGCAATACATTCCAAGGCAATGTGTCAATTCTTTAGTGGAGGAACTACATCCCACAGTACAGCAGTGGAACGGTAGCTCATCCTTTCAACTCCTTCAGGTTTTGGTCTTCATGAGACCTTGTGTATTTGATGCTGGCATTCGTTCATTGTTAGAGAGATCAGGCAGAAACAAAAAGTAACCTAAATAAATGTAATTTATCAAGTGTGAAGTGTTAATAACCGATTCTTGAATTGTTTTTATTTCTTGGCTGTGCTGCTGTATTTGCTTATTGGGCTTTCTATTTGATAACTAGTTTTGCTGATGTACTGCTAAGAGAGTTGCTGTTCTGGTTCCCTTTTTTCTTTCAGTATAATGAACAGATATATTTTGAGAAGGCACATCTTGGTGATAGACTTCTGCTCTGATGGTTGGCTGTGCAGCACACAACTACAGAAGCTAAAATGTTAAAGCAGTTTAAATGCCGAGGACTATAAAATGTTCTAGCTCCCCCTATTATAGCAGGATCTGTCCAGATTTTTGTTGTACTCTGTTGGCAAACTGGAAAACCCTCCTCAGCGGTAGCCAGCTGGTCTATACCTGTTGGAGTTCAGTGGTTGATTTTAATGGCTCTTCATGAGGCTGAAGTCCCATCTGCTCTACCTGTGGGGAGGGAAAAGGCGCAATATCTAAGTAACCAATGTTAAAAGAAAGACTGGCTTCATGAACTGTGACAAAACACTCAGCTGATGCCAGTGAAAGGCTTTCTCCTCTACTGAAAAGGCAAGAAATCATTCTCGAGAATTGGCTTCATGTTAGAACTGTAAACAGTTCCTATTTTATAACCATACAAGTATGTGGCTTGTTATATTTTCATCCAGAGTCTGTAGGGGTTCTTTTTCTTGCAGAATTTGTTCAAAGCCTGTGCATACCTCTGGAGGAATAAAAGAAAATGAGTTTGTTCTTCATTATTGCTGTTTGCAATAAAGCAAACTGCCTCTGAAAACACAAGTAGTGCTCTTCAAAGACATGTTTCTATGCTCTATATGGATGTTTGCAAATGTGCATGCGTGTGTGGCTGCCATATGCACTAAGCTTGTTTGTTACCACATCTGGCTGACTTTTACCCTGCCTGCTTTTAATGCACCCTCATACACTAATCTGGGCTGTCAATGAGTCAGAAGCGGGGAGGAGTGGTGTTCCCTGTTACAAAGTGTTTATCACAGTGGGTTGCAGGAGGATGACCACAGTGTTTCAGGGACATAAGCAGTAGTCTTGATTAACCTGTTTAACAGTTCACTTGTGGGTAAGACAAACAGTCTAAAGCCCGATCCAACTGTAGTCATGAATTTATTCCTTAGCAAATAATGGTGGATAAAATTAGCAGACATCTGGAAGAGGCACATATTTCAAAGTTATTTTGGTCGAAATGTATAAAGCACACTATGAAGAATATGATTGGTAGCTGGTCTTAATAAACAGTTAGTGAGTTCTGCCTGCCTAAAATGCAAAACAGATGTATCTTTGTTCTTTTAAAGTGACTTTGATGAATAAACTACATGTGACGTCAGGTGCAAGCTATTGGATGTCTGAGTCCGGCAGAGAAATTTTTTAGAATTAAAAAAAAAAGAAAACTTTCCATTGTAGACTCTGGAGAGAACAAAGTGAATTCCAGTGCATTGCTCTCAGAGCAAATAGAAGCAGGTTCAGAGACTTTAGATAGTCAATCCAAATGTTTATTATTAGTATTATTTTCAGGGAGATCTGTTTTTGTCTGCTGCACTGAACCGTTTTCCTCTCCTTGCAGCAAGTCTCAGACTCTGGCTATTTGTATCAGTATTAAGGGTCTCTGGCTTTGGAGGGCTTTTTTACTTTAGCCCTTTTTTTTTTTTTACCTTCTTCTGGATTTTATTCCCTCCTGTTTAGTTTTGGGAGAGGGAGGGTTGGGAGGAGGAGGAGGGTGAAGGAGGAGAGTGAAAAGGAAGATAGGCAAATACTTCCAAAAGGACTGTGCAGACACAATACTACATCTAAAGGCTCTTTAACTCTGCTGGGTTTTGCTTTTGTTTTGTCATGAGCAATTTAACATTTTTCAGGGAAATAGTCTCTGCTTTGGTGTGCATTTTTTGGCAGATAGAGCAGGCAGGCAGTTTAGTGCTGTACCCCTTCTGTCAGGAAGTCAGCTCATTCTCTGCAGGTGTTTCATCCATAAACAAGCATCAGCCACAGACTTCTTTTTCTTTACGGAAACCCTCTGGAATTTAACTTTCAGATACAAATACTTGGAGAGGTTGGCAGCAGAGGAGTATGAGAAGGAGCTGAAGAGTCGGAGTGTAAGCCGAGGCAGAAGCGAGCTGTCCTTGAACCTGAGATCTCCTTCAGCCCCATCCTCACCTGCCCCGTCCTCACCTGTACCCAAGTGCGTCAGTCCAGCATCCATAGAGTCCCAGGAAGAGCTGAAGACCCCTTCCACCCCTTGTGGGACTCCTCAGCCTTCAGAAGGTAAGTGAAAAGGAGGGCAGAGGAAAGTGATTTTATCAGTTTCTTTTAGGCTAGCAGTGTTTTTAGATGCATGAGTCCAAGTAACCTCTGACATGCCAAAGTAAAGGGTCATCTGGTATTGTTTCTTGCTGTCTTCTTAAATGTCCTCTTTTTTTTGCATAGATTTGAATATCTTCTAGTCTACTGAAGCAAAGAACAAACTGCTAACTGTGGTTATGATTTGTATTATTGTCTGTTGCTATTAGAATGGAATAATTGGAAAATAGAGCATAAAGAGGGTCTTCATTTTAGCATGATGTTCCTCGTATATTAGAAGTTACTGAATACTAGACCAATAATATTCCTGCCAACAGATTTTGCTTATGTGGATTCTCTGAAAGAAATGCAACAGATGAATGCCAAGATTATAATAACCTTCCAGCAGGCTGAATGGGACAAACTGAAAAGGTCTTGAATTGAAGGCAGGGAGGGTGTGTTGGTTATTTTTAACACCAACAAAAACTCTTAAAATTGTAGCACATAGTAAAGGACTTAAAAGAGACCACAGGCAATTAGTAAAAAGGAAAGTATAATTAGTGTTTGCATGGTTGGTTTGCTGTCATGTAATTTATTGGTGTGCAGAGCATAATTTTTTGTGTGTGCACGTCATTCTGCTACTTGCATCATGCACCCCTCCTTCAGTCCTCAAAAAACACCCACCATACAGATTTGTATTCGCACTACATGATGTTGCATTAACACTGGGAGCTAGAATGCATGTTGAGGGTGAATTGTCACCATCATTCACTTTGATTTGATTTGTTTTGATTTCCTGCTACATGCTATTGGTGATTAATGCATTTGTAACTTGCACTGCTTGGTTTTATTGAGTGTTACGGCTGGTAGCATGCTATAAAGCAAGGCAATTTATGAAAAAGTTACAAATAAATACCGAATGTTGCACATGTTTATCCTCACTGTACTAAGTAGGTGAAGTTTATTTAATTTAGGTTTATATATTTTCCCAATTATATTCCCAGTTTTCTTGTCTGGCACCTTAAAAGTCTCAGTGGAATCATTTGAACTTAAAAAACACGGTCATTTTTCTGTAATACTGATATTCAGAAACATCCAGACATTCTTTTTTTTAGTACAATATTGCTTTTAAAGCAAATAAGCTGGATTTTTCCACCATTAGGGTTTCAGAGCTGGGTAGGGAGCAAGTATCTCCTTTATGATGATTATTTAAACATACTTCTCCTGGAAACATTAAAATAAAAATGCAGCATGAAATGGAGCAGCACAGTCCATTTGGAGAATGCATTTAAAGCAGGTGTACAGGGCAACTTCAAGCAGACAGAATATGGCAAAGCATTCAGCACATGGGTAGGCAGGACATCACTACCAAAACTCCTGGCAATATCAGCTGCATAAGATGGCAGCACCTGGCAGATTGGCAGCAAAGAAAGAACGTATGGATGAGGCAGGGTAAGCCTCCAGCCAAGGGCAGCTACTGACAGATGGCCAGGGTGGCACCAGAACAGGGTCCTGAAATCTGCATACTTCAGC